ATTTATGAAGAAGACCCCAAAAGCAATCACGGCAACAACAAAATAAATAAATGGGACCTGATCAAATTAAAAAGTTTCTACAGAGCCAAGGAAACTGTAATTGAAAGCAAACAGACAACCAAAGAATGGGAGAAAATATCTGCATGCTACACATCTGATAAAGGGCTGATAACTAGAATCTGTATAGAACTCAAGAGAATCAGCAAGAAAAAAAATCTACAACCCTATTAAAAAGTGGGCAAAGGACATGAATGGAAACTTTTCAAAAGAAGACACTCTAATGGCCAACAAACATATGAAAAATACTTAACATCTCTAATCATTAGGGGAATGTAAATCAAAACCCCAATAAGATATCACTTAACTCTGGTGTGAATGACTTTTGTCAAAAAGTCCCGAAACGATAAATGCCAATGATGTGGAGAGATAGGAACACTCATACACTGCTGGTGAGACAGCAAACTAGTACAACCTCTATGGAAAGTATTAAGGAGATACCTCAAAGAGCTAAAAGTAAAACTACCAAAATATAAAAATTTTATGGTATATCTATCCATAATATATCTAGAACAATTTTTATTAAATACAGCATATTAGATTGTTTTGAAATCCAGGAACAATCAACTTTCATAAATAAGTCTTTGTCACACAGGTGTTGGATGAAAGCCAGAGCAGTCACAGAACAAACTGAAGTTTTGGAATTTTTCAGCAACCAAAATGATATCTATATCCTTCCAAGGGGGTAGCTCTACAATCAATATTGTTCTTCTCCAGTCCATTTTGAATGTTATAGTCTACGATTGCTGTCCCCAACTCCCAGGCCACAGACGGGTACCTGTTAGTAGCCTGTTAGGAACTGGGCTGCACAGCAAGACACGAGCAATGGGCAAACTAGCAAAGCTTCCTCTGTATTTACAGCTCATCTCCATGACTTGCATCACTGCCTGAACTCTGCCTCCTGTCAGATCAGCAGCGGCATTAAATTCTCATAGGAGCACGAACCCTACTGTAAACTGCGCATGTGAGCAATCTAGGTTGCACGCTCCTTATGAGAATCTAATGCCTGATGGTGTGAGGTGGAGCTGAGGCGGTGATGCTAGCACTGGGGAGTGGCTGCAATACAGGTTATCGTTATCATAGAGCTTTGGCTACACAATAAATGTAACGCGCTTGAATCATCCTGAAACCATCCCCCCACACCATTCTGTGGAAAAATTGTCTGCCATGAAACTCGTCCCTGGTGTCAAAAAGGTTGGGGACTACTGACCTAAGACATTTTTTGAAACGTAAACAAGATTGTGCTTTCAATAGTTTGGAAAATGCAAATGATCTTTCATAGCTATGATAGCCACTCTTTGCTGCTTATCTTACATCCATTTTCTCCTTCTCCTACAGCAGTTTTTAACTGGCGTTGGTTTTGTCCTCTGGAGGACATTTGCCCATGTAAAAAGACATATTTGGTTTTCATAACTGGGAATAGGATGCAACTGTCACTTAATGAATATAGACCAGGAATGTGGCTAAATATACACAATGCATAGAATAATCCCTCACCACAAAGAATTCTCTGGCCCAAAATATCAACAGTGCCAAGGTAGCAAAACTCTCTTCTGTGCTAACAAGATATCCATTCCTTTATATCAGCAATGTGCATAGTCACAAGATAAAGCCCAAATTCATCAAAATTAATATGTAAATCTTTCATCATTTAATCCGTGCTGATATCTTAACATTATTTCTTGTTATTCAACTTCCTTTTTTCTGAATTAATTAACCATTTATAAAAATCATATATGTGTCTTTCAAAATAAAATAAGCTGTTGCTCATTGACAAACACGTCTAAAATACCAGTAACTTAATATCACAAAGTTTGTTTCTTGTGCTAGATAACTCAAAGCATGTTAGGAAGACTCTTCTCATTGTACTCACAAGGGCCTCGTGCAGATGGAGGCGCTGTCCTCTTAAGAAGCTTTCAAGCTGAATCTTCAGGTCTCACTGTGCCAATAGAACATGGCGTATTGCACACTGATCCTTAATTTCTTCTGTCCATTAGCAAAACAAGTCCCCTCCACTCACATTGGCCAAATCCTCTTGGCCAAACAAGTCATATGGTCTTGCCTAACTTTAAAACGACATTTTTCTGGAAGAAAAGGAAAACTAAAACTCTTAGTAAGCACCGGTAGTATCTATTCCTGTGTTTTGGGTGTTTTTTTCTCCTTATTTCCAGGGCTAACTCATACTTAATATTTAAGTTTAATATTGTGCATCACTTCTTAGATAAAGTCATCTTGATTCATTTTCTTCCTAGACTTGGTTAGATGCCTCTCCTTGGTTCTTGTATCAGACTTCATACATAGATCTCACCACATTTAACATTTGTTATTGTGAAAATCTGTTCACTACTTTGCCTCTTCTAGATGATTGGCTCTTGAGATCAAAGCATATGTCTTATTTATTGTTGCATTCACAAAATCTAGCACACATGAACTAATGCAATTAAATATATCTTTACACAAATAAACAAAATGCCCATTGGCCAAATTATACAATGAAAGATGTAAGATCACTTATATTTCTATCAAACGAGCCTCTTGCCTTTCCAGGTACCTGATGATTCCTTGACTTAAAGTTCTGTCCGTATTTTCTCCTTATTCTAATATGAGGAATGTTTAGTATCTTCATAGCATCATAAAATACAGTATGAAAGTATTGTAAAAATCATTTTGTATACATTATATTAATTTTAGGATACCCAAGGCAATATTTTTCCTGTAAAAATGCCATTACTAACTACAGATAAGAGAAATTATTGAGTTTGGTCAAACACTTCTTCAGCCTAGATTGCCTTCAAACAACTAAACTGTCTTTATTTTTAACTGTAAACAGCTTTCAGCATACCCTGAAGAAAAAAAATAATCAGAAAAAACTGTGGTGAATCTAATGGGTCCCAAAGAAACCTAGAACTGTTTGAGAGAGACTGAATTCTCTCCCTCCTGAAGATAAAGTTTTTTTCTTTTTCATGTCACTATGAAAAATATTTACTTCATCCCTGTTGCAGAAGTAGATTGACTTTATTCATAGATTGGAATTCTTCACTGAATAATCTGAGCTGTATAATTCAATTCTGGGGAAAGGTCACTGGACTAAGACTCAGTAGACTCAAGTTCTTCTCCAAATCTTGCCAGGTTTAGTCAGGTCACTCCGATTGAGTAACTAAGACTTTTCTGAGCCTTAGTATTTTTTTAACCACAAAAGTGGATTTAGTAACAGCTGTCCTGTTCACTTCCATTACCAGCAATAAATAGTTATTTGAACTACTGTAGTATAATATATAATGCAAAAGAAAAATAATGGATATAAAATCATTAAAACAGTATTATCATTGATATAGCGTAGGAATTATAATAGACTTAGATTCCTATCAGTACAATGTATTTAACCACTTTATCATTTATCAAACCATTTAACCATTTATCAATTGAAAAACAGACATAAAAAGTAGGAATGAACAAGTTGTTAGAAAACTTAAGTATTTATAATGAGTTATAATATATATTCAATAAATAATAGATATTTTAATGTGTGATTCTCTAAAAATATAACTTAATAAAGTTTCAAAGTATAATGTAATTTTTGGTGTTAAATAAATTTAAAAACAGTATTTTCCATGAACTGAGTAATAAAGGCAGATAATTTAGCTTCATATGTGGAAACTCAGAATATTGCCCTGGAGAAGAGAAAACAAGCCTTCTTTTCCTCTAAAATAATATCATTCTACCATTAAAAAAAAATCTAAGATAAAAATAAATTTAGTTTAAAAAGAATGAAGGAATATAAGAATTATATAATAACTATTCAACTCAACAACTATTTGAACAGAAGGTCAGAAGGAATTATTAGCAAAAGAAAGAAATGAAATTAAACAAAATAATAGCAACAGGAGAAACAGCACTAATGAAATAAGAATCTGAAAACTTCAAGCCCTGATTTTTACTCTAAAAGAAAAATTGTTTAGAAAGAATGACTTTCTGTTCTAAAGAATGTAAATGTGTTTTAATGAGTGTTGTATGTTGGGCTGTGGAGGCAGTATGCTATGATGCTTTGAAGAGTAGGGACTCTGGACTCTGAAACCCAGCTGCACCGCCAAGCAGTGCTGTATCTAATATAAAATGGGAACTCTGGCCGGGCGCGGTGGCTCACGCCTGTAATCCTAGCACTCTGGGAGGCCGAGGCGGGCGGATTGCTCGAGGTCAGGAGTTCAAAACCAGCCTGAGCAAGACCCCGTCTCTACCAAAATATAGAAAGAAATTAATTGACTAACTAAAAATATATATACAAAAAAAAATTAGCCGGGCATGGTGGCGCATGCCTGTAGTCCCAGCTACTTGGGAGGCTGAGGCAGTAGGATCGCTGAGCCCAGGAGATTGAGGTTGCTGTGAGCCAGGCTGACGCCACGGCACTCACTCTAGCCTGGGCAACAAAGCGAGACTCTGTCTCAAAAAAAATAAATAAATAAATAAAATAAAATAAAATAAAATGAAATAAAATAAAATGGGAACTCAACAAATACCAGCTAATATTGCTATTAAGATTTTTGTGAGTGTTGTGATTTTAAAAATCCCAATTAATCTACAAACAAGAAAGAAATCACTGCTGTTTACTCTCAAACCCTAGGTTTCCATCCTTAGGAATAGCAGAGTAAGTCAAAGGAGATAAAAATCTGAACAGATCTGCTTGTTTCATAAGCTTGATGGGCCTTGCAAGGGCCTGAAGCAGGAGGCAAAGTTTGGTGTAGGATTTCAAAATCTTTTCATTAAATACAGTACTTGCTCCAAAGTATCCCAGGTCCCCTGTGATCGTAACTGCTCGGTAAATACTAACCAATCAATAAACTGTTAACTTCCTCTTTTCTTTCTCTACCCCATGGACAAAATACAAGGATTCCTTGAAGCCTCTTCTCAGAAACCCACTGACTTGAGCCCTCTGTTCATTTTGTTAGGCTTCACCTACTGGGATGTGTCGAACAGCAGAAGAATCTGTGGAAACTGATGTCTGAATCCAGCCCTCTCTTCCTACAGCCTAAATATCAACTGCTGTTGTTTATCCTGGTATTTCTCTGAGTTAGCTTTTTTCCCACCTGGTGTTCCATAAATACAAATATCAAACAGAGATAGTTTACCATCTCATACAATTCTTATTAAATTAAATGCACTGTTAGGGAACCTGAGAGTAGAAAATATAGGATGACAGATTATTTGTTAATTTTTGTCACTTGGCATAAAACTATAATTGATGGTTGTCCTATTTCTACCATTTCATATTAATTTCAAAGTGAAATTTTGTGAATTCTACCTTGTAACAAATATTATATTATTTTATTATATTTTATTATTTTTTGAAAAATAAAATTTGATCAGGGTTGGCAAACATTTTTTCTATAATACCAAAGAGTAAATATTATAAGCTTTGTGGACCACATATAACCTTCGTCACATATTTGTTTACTGTTTTGTTATTGTTTGTTTGTTCGTCTGTTTTTTATAACCCTTTAAAAATGTAACAAACATTCATAACAAGCAGGCCTTGCAGCATCAGGCTGCTGTTGAATGTGGCCGTGGGGCTGTACAGTGCTGACTCTCAAATTAGATGCTACATGAACCTTAGAATTCTGAGAGTGAAGATGCAGAGGAAATGGGATATATGAAAGAGATGAAATTGTTCTTTTTGGTCTTGTGATATTAAAAACAGTCAGTCAAGAAAAATATTTACTCTATGGGCTGACATTTTCTGCCATTGAAAATGTTTACTAAATGATGCTCAAATTTATACACATACAAGTGGGGTGGGCAGCCTCTAAGTTTAAGTCCAAAGGTATTCTGCTGGCAGAATTCCTCTTCATTATGCAGTTGATTGTCTTGAATCATTTTATTTGCAGCTGATAATCTCCCATGTGCAAAGTAAATATTTCAGTCTGTACCACTGTGGATCAGAACACTATGATGCCATGAGGTGTCATGTCAAAGCCTAGGAAACTAGGCTTTGTTCCATTAAGTCTCAGTCTTGAATGCCTTCCTGGCATTCAGGTTCATGGCTGGTTCCTTCCTCTGGAACACGGACCAGATTTGTTGATTCACTTCCAAAGATTAGAGTGTCACAGAAGAGATGCGATATCAATTCTGAAATTAGATTATGAAAAGACCGTGGCTTCTATTATGGATGTCTTTTCTGTTTTCTCTCTTAGCTCCCTTGATCTGGAAAAACAAGTTGTCATGTTATGAACAGATCTGTGGAGAAGCCTGTGTGGTGAGGAACTGTGTCTCCAGCTAGCAAGTAATGAGAACTGGACCCGACAGAACACACCACTGTGAGATTTGCAGCCTAGACTTTACTAGTCAAGCCTTGAAAGAACTGTGGCTCTGTGACAGTTAATTTCATGTGTCAACTTGACTGGGCCATGTCATTGCCTAGATATGTGGTCAAACATTATTCTGGATGTCTCTGTGAAGGTATTTTTTTTGAATAATATTAACATTTAAACCAATGGATGTTAAGTAAAGGAGATTATTCTCTGTAATGTGGGAGGGCCTATCCAATCAGTTGAAGGTCTTAGTAGAACAAAGCCTAATTTCCCCAAGCAAGATGAATTCTGCCAGCAGAATGCCTTTGGACTTAAACTGCAACTCTTCCCTGAGTCTCCATCCTGCCTGCCCATCATGATTTGAACTCACCAAACTTCTACAATTATGTTAGCCAATTCCTTGAAATCTCTCTCTCTCTCTCCACATGTATGTACAGACACACACACACACACACACACACACACACATATCCTGTTGATTTTGTTTCAACCTTGAGTAATATAAGCCCCATCTGACAGCTTGACCAAAGCCTAGTGAGAACATGAGCTACAGGCACCCAGCCAAGTAGCACCTGTATTCTTGAGCCACAGAAATGTGAGACCATAAATGGTTTTTGTTTTATCTGCTAAATTCTGTGGTAATTTGTTACATAGCAACAGATAACTAACACTCATAAACTTATATGAGTATATAGATCTGGCTTATTATTTTTTCTTTTTTTTCTTTTGTTAGGAAAGCATAGTTTCAATATATATATGTAAAGTATGTATCAAGATCTGTAGATAAAAATCAGCAATTTAATTTTCATCAGTCAATTTATATTGGAAACTTTAGTCAGATTTTGCTGTGAATTGTAGTCCAAAATATTTCTATTGTGACCTCTGTATACTTAAACATTTTTATCACTTAAACGTATCTGGAGCATTTTGCTTTCATATAAAATATAACTGAGAGATTTTTGTGATATTTCGGACAGACTAGATGATCATATTCTCAACTTCCCCCTGGACAAGATAAGGACACCTTGAGGTAGAGATAAAATCAAGTGGCACCATCTGTCTGATCAGACATGGCCACTCAAAACACCTCATGGCATCATAGTGTTCTGATCCACAGTGGTACAGACTGAAATATTTACTTTGTACATGGGAGATTATCAGCCTCAAATAAAATGATTCAGGACAATCAACTGCATAATACAAAATCTAAATCATCTCTTACTTGGTTAGCATTTGAAAGAAATCGAAATATTTTACCACAGAATACATTTGTTCGACATATTTTGAGATGACTTTTCAGAGAGCCAGAAAATAGAAGTAACCCTGCAGAGCTTTTTTTTTTTTTTTTTAATGGGGAAGGTTTGTATCTGTAAAGAATCTTCATTGATGCAGCCAGGACTTCCCATACCGAGATCCAGGAAAGATTAACCAAGTCTGACACTGTTAAAGGTCTGAAAGAAACATTTATTATCTATTCTTTCTGAGGGCTACGACCTCTGAGATTTCATCTACACAACAAGACTACCTTTGCTAGCCAAGCCTCCTCTTCTCTTTCTTCCGTCTTGCCACTATAACCTCATTTATCACCATGATCTGTTTTGTGGCTGTGCTCTGCCCCTCCCATTCTTTTTGTAGCCTCAAGATGGTATATAAATTCCTGCATCCCATGAGGGGATGGGGTAATCTATAATTTCCCGCATGTATACATTAATAAATTGGTATGCTATTTCTTTTATTAATCTGAATTTTGTGAGTTGATCTTTCAGTAAAGCTTCAAAGGACAAAAGGGAAGATTTTCCCTTGGCCCCTACACATTCATTCAACCAATATTTATTGAATACCATCTACAAATGTTAGGCATTTGAGTATGGGCATGTACTTGTAAGGAAAAACGGGTATACTTCTTGCAATTAGGCATCTCATATTATTGTATGGGATTCAGCTGTAGCAAACAGGGTACCAAGTAGTACTTTTCTTATTGCTTTGGAATTGCTTGGTTGGGTCTCAAGTGAAAATAAAATGCTGTTTGGTGCTTTGTATTCTAAAATACCTCCCAACAATAGAGGGTAGACCTTGCCTTGAGGCGTACTGAGAAGCAGCCAGGCTTGCTTTTCTATCCCCAATTAGCACTCACATTAACCTTCCAGTCTATTTATAAAAAATAACTTTTGAAGAGAAAGAAAGAAAACCTATAGGAATCTTGGTATGTTGACCTCCTAGAGACTACAATAGCTCTCCACCCTGACCTTCACCAAAAGAACTAAATGGGTTAAAAGACCCCAACAAAACCTTTTGAAGAGGATAGAGAGTCTCAAGAAAAGGATTCAATACATACCTCTTCACTCCCTGGGTGGATGCTAAGGAGAAAAAAAAATAGTCAAACCTGATTCTGTCATGAAGCAGAATAAGTATGGTGATAAAATTCTTGAGAGATGTGAGATATGACCTAGGAATTTGAAATATTTATATATATATATATATATATACACACACATATATACATATATACATGTATCCATACATATATATGTGTGTCCATATACAATATACATATATGTGTACTTGTGTGTGTGTGTGTCTGTATATATATATATATATATATATATAGTTCCCTGCCAATCAATTCAAATTTATAAAGGCAGAAGACTCATTGGAACTGTTAGTAGGATAATTGGTTTAGTATGCATAAGGTAAAGGAAATGAAATGACTTCCACATAGTTTATCACAGCTTTCAGCAACTGTAGAAAAGACACAATGGTTCATTTGGCTTCATGTGAATAATCATGGAGTGAAACAGAAGCAGGAGCTAAGAAGCGGATGAAATAACTCCAAGACAAGTAGATCTATGGTTCTTTCCAACAGAACATCAGAGAAATGGATCCTTGATATGAAATAATGGGTAGAATTATCTGACAGCATCCTTGGCAAAGGATGTGCCCAACATAGACACTGCCCGGGAAAACCATATATACCATTGACATGAAGAATGGCTCCAGGATTGGGCCCCCAATGGTACTAGTAAATAGAAACTAGCTGAGCAAACAGAGAATAATGACAGATCTCCAACAAAGTGTTACCAGACAAGTAAAATAACTGCCATTATTCCTGTCCCCTCTCCACAGTCTCAGTGCAGATAGTGAGGTGAGAGGACACAGACCACAGAACTTCCATCTCTAGGGTGCTAGAGTTGGGAGGAGAAAACCTGAAGCAGTGAATGGGATTGAGTTTGCCAATCTGATGAGCTCTAAGGTACCAGCAGATGGAGGAATCCAGGATGTCTTATCTGGAACTGGAATAAACCTGCCTTTAAAGAAGGAGCGGGCAGAGGGAATCTTATTGCTTAATCCAGAGATTATAGTGATACTGCCCTGCTCCTAAAAAAAAAAAGATGGAAATAACTTAACTTGAATATTGTCTTGAGCCAAAGCTTATTTAAAACTGTATACCTCAGAAAGTAGAGGAAAAGTGACTAAATCTTTTGACTGGAACATGAACCAAGCTTCCTAGTGGCTCAGTCACTATAGCTACAATATCTTCAACACAATGTTGGCAGAAGATTGAGGCACCAAAGTGAGAGCTGGATGTGGTCTATGGTCTATGTGAGATTAAAAGAGGCAAACACATAATTACCAGAGGACTAAATGCACACACACAAAAAAACAAAACAAAAGAGTTTTTCCCTTGAGACGAGCCTGCATATAGAAATTCCAAACCTCATGAGGAAAAACAAAGCTTAGAAGAAATTAGGTAAACATTAAATGGATTACTTTGCTCCAAGTGAAAAGAAAAATAGAACACTCTAAAATGTCATTACAGCCGGGCGCAGTGGCTCACGCCTGTAATCCTAGCTCTCTGGGAGGCTGAGGTGGGCGGATCGTTTCAGCTCGGGAGTTCGAAACCAACCTGAGCAATGAGCGAGACCCCGTCTCTACTATAAATAGAAAGAAATTAATTGGTCAACTAATATATATAGAAAAAATTAGCCGGGCATGGTGGCGCATGCCTGTAGTCCCAGCTACTAGGGAGGCTGAGGCAGAAGGATTGCTTGAGCCCAGGAGTTTGAGGTTGCTGTGAGCTAGGCTGACGCCACGGCACTCACTCTAGCCTGGGCAACAAAGTGAGACTCTGTCTCAAAAAAAAAAAAAAGAAAAAAAAAAGAAAAATAAAAAATAAAATGTCATTACAATAATATAGATAAAAGAACAAAAATAAGAAATTAAAAAGAAAATAGAGGCAGTAATGATATCAGTATAGGTGGATAATGAAAAAATTAATTAGAAATTCTTGAAATGAAAAAAAAATGAGGTCACTATTTCTCATAATCCATGTTTTGCTGCTATAACAGAATAGCATAGACTGAGTAATTTATTAATAAAACTTTATTTGGTTCATGGTTCTGAAGATTGAAAGCCCAAGGGCATGACACCAACATCTACTCAGCCATGTGATGCATCATCCCATGGCAGAAAGAAGAAAACCAAATGAACACAGTGGACAAAAAGAAAATGGGGGTCAACCTCATCCATTTGTCAAAAGCTCACTTTGTGACAGCTAACCTACACGGTGATAATGTCATTAATCCATCAATAGTGGCAGAGCCCTTATGACCTAATTGCCACTTAAAGGTTTCACCTTCCAACAGTTAAAATGGCAATTAAATTTCAACATGAGTTTTGTAAGGGGCATTCATACTGGTGGTATATAAAATTCAATAGCTGTTATAAACTCTGGATGAAAGAACGGGTGACTTAGGATATAGTTATTGGGAATGCACCTAAATACAACACAGAGAACCAAGAACATAAATAGACAGATAGAGATAGACATAAGAAAAAACAATGTATTCAGGTAAAAAATCCTCATTTTTTATATTTTCCATGTTTCTGAATCTCCACAGACTGTTTCTTCTCTAGATTCTTGCTTCTTTGGGTCATTCTTTTCTACGACATGTGTGTAGATAGATACTCTATGACTGATAATTTTGGGAAGAATAGCTGGGCAGCATCACTGAGCTCTGCCTCCTTTCTCTGGGGGCAGGGGTGTGGTGGAGGTAGTAGATGTTTCAGAGAGCCAGAAATCCCCCTCATTTCTCCAAAAGGCTAACTT